TCTGATTAGCTTTTTTTTTCCTTAGTGCCTCAGCTGCATGAATTTAAGCGTGCTACTAGATTGGCGGTTAGGTCTCACCATTTTACTGTTGAATTAGCTGGATGCAACCATCTCTTCTGTTCTAACAGATTATTTTCTGGCACTTCTCACCTGTGGAACTCCTTACCGATTTCCCGCTTCCATGTGATATACAATTTTCAAAAGTTTAAATACAACGTCAATCACCGTCTTTTGTATCTTTGAATTATGTTTCTTTTCTTCACTAAAGTCATTATCTTTCACCCCAGTAACCATCTGCGTCTTAGTGACATTATCGTCTCGCCCGGGGTGAAATGATAAAAAAAGAAGACTCTAGTCTGTTTTACTCTATGAAACAGTCTCATGGACTCTTATTGATGTCCTCGGTAAGAAGTTAGATGCCGAATAAACAAACATGCACAAAAGGTTAAATGGTATCACCGGTGTAAACCTCCATGGTGATCTGCTAAAAGTAGCAGAGATTACAGAAAGAAGTCTACAATCCTCAGGATACTGTTGATACAGCAAGTAGGAAAATATCTCCAAAGTCGTACTGTGAGATGCTTGCCATGGAAAAGCGGAATCGTGTACCTCTAGCTGGGACATACATCTACTAAGTAATGGAAGATACAAGTCTTGGAATAGACCAGCTACGGAAAGCTATGGAGGATCATGGATCATGGATTAGGGAGCAGATTTCTTTTAGAAAAATTTCGACCGAGGTTGATGAAGAGATAATTTAAACCTGGATGAATTCGTTTGTTTTACCAAATCTTAATTTTTAAAGATTTTTCTTTAAAAAACACTACAACGTAACGAGTTCTTGATATGATGTGCTTTTATTCATACCTGGCACGCTCACTAAGTAGTAAATACATGCAAATATTTAACAAAAAATGTTCTGCTGTACTTGAAAGTGTGTTACTTGAAGTGTAAAACATTTCTAATAAAACGATAACTATACAGGATTAAAAGCTGAAATTTTACAGATTAATAATTTCATAAATGTTTTAAACGTTCTGTAAATTTTATCTTCCTCTATAAATAATAATTTAAATTTTAAGTTGATATCCATTCAGAAGTGACAACATATCTTAATAATTTTCAATAAAAGGAAATCTTTATTTTGTCTGAAACTTATTAATTAATAGAACATGTTCCAAGGAAGTGTCTGCTATAATTTAAATCAATGCAAACCTCTATGATGATTTACCAAAAATAGCATTCAAAAGTGCAGAGAGAATGTTATAGTTCTTGGAAAACTCTTGGCACAGTAAGCTGGAAAACATTCTCAAAATCATACTGTACGATCCTTCTCTTGGGATTCGTGGACGCCAAGCTTGAACATACATCATTTGGTGGATATAAGTCTTAAAATAGATCAGCTAACAAAAACTATGGAAGATCGTAAATTATGGAGCAGATTTTTGATGGCGGTTTGACACCTGTCTGCTAGGACGGGTAGCAAATCCCTGTCGTAAACACCTGCTCAGGCATAGTTTTGTTTGTTCAACACCCACAGAGCCCACCTGTGGTTTGTACTGCAACTATGCTGAGGAGACAGTCACAATTTCAGGGAGAGAACGCATAATCTGGCATTACCTGCAGTTTGATCAACGTCAGTAAGCACAAATCCTCGGTCGCGATGGCTTGTGAGTTCGTGCTATTATTTATATTATTGTTATAACCATCGACGTCTTCCGAACAGTTTCGTCTGTTCAAATTCAAACATAAATAGTGATATGATTCTCAAGTAATTTTCAAGGGCAAGAAAAAAATAAATAAATAAAAAATCTTAAAAATATTGTTTTTTCAAGAAACACACACACACGCATTGTACATATATATATGTGTGTGTGTGTGTGTGTGTACGTATATATATATATATATTACTGGACTCTCGACGTATGAACGTAGAGCAACTTCGTTCTCAGCACCCAAGAGCCAAACAACACGCACATGTAATTGGATTATAGTGGTGAAAGCTTCAGTAGAACGAGCCAAACCTTTTGGAAAAAGCCGAAAACAGGGAATTGGTCCCCAAACAACCGTCCTAAGGTTTTAAATTCAGAGTTGTCCTTCTCCTAGACTGGTTGACACTCAAGGCTAGTTCCCAGTCTGTCCTGCTATTAAGCAATAGAAAAGATGGATTCATATCTTCCCCCTTCACGTAAGCGAATGTAACCAACTCAGCTGGAATTCGAACCCGGGTCACTGATACAATTCGAGCCACATTTCATTACTTCACCGTGCCTCCACTATATATATATATATATATATATATATATATATATATATATATATATATATATATATATATATATATGAAGAATTACAACCTCTGTGGCCTTTGGATGAAGCTCATAAATACAAAATGTTTGAGACACAACGTGGTGAAATAGTTAAAATGTTTGTTTCGCTGGATCAATTACGACTGAATGGTGAGTTCGATTCTTACTGGGTGCCCCATTCATTCGGTTTTGTGCGACATCTTAGATGCGCTTTGAAAATAATAGGCCACTCAGACGTGGTGTAATGGTTAGCGAGTTTATCTTGTTAGACATTTGCGACATTTGTGAGTTCGATCCTCACTGGCTGTCACAAACCTTCGGCCTTGTGCCACATCTAGGTCACGCTTACAAAATCACCGTAAACAAAAATGTTATTGATGTCAGACCCACTTCCCAAAATTTGATTGTTATTTCGTCACTGAAGCCGGAAAAAGGGATCTTTTTATCGTTAAGTGTAATTTTGAAGGACCCTTGTTTCTAATTTTTAATGTTTCAGATCATTGACTGAGCCATACAAGCGTTGTACCCCGAGTAGTCATGAAATACCTGTTCGTGCAGAAGAAACCTTCAAGGAAAAAAATTCTATGTTTATGATACAAACATTGAGTGACAAGAACCTGTTATTTCAATAGGAGTAGATAGGTTTGTCTATCATCAGGTTCACACTCCTCTCCGGTCCTTTAAACAGAGGTTTATTAGGATTGGTTTTCCAGTTCCTTCTAAAGTATTTTCCTTTCTCCTCTTTCCCTTCCAGTAGTCCCTTGTATCTTAGTGGCATTACCACCTTGTATGTGTGTTATAGGATCTTACTCATAATAATAATAATAATAATAGACTATTCCATACTTAATAAATACTGCGCCTCAGGAGTAGGCAAGGAGTTAGTCAGTCAGTAGTTCAAGTCGAGTCAAGAGTCGAGTCAGAGGCAGTCCGAAACAGAGTCACGTTCAGACAATTACTGCAAGACATTGGAATAGCGATATTGGTCGAGAGTACATTGTTCTCTCTACTAAACCTGATTGTTCGTAGTATCACTTTCTACTTCTCTGTATATCTTCCTGTTTGTTATATATCTGTGTTATTCCATACCTGTGTTCGAGTTCTTCTTTATTGGTTCTACCTTGGACCATCACCGTGGTACAAGGAACCGGACCATAACAATGTGATGAATTGATAAAAAAACAAATAACTCAATAGCGAGTAAGTGATGTGCCAACTTCAGGCGTGGAATTATTCAAACTCAACTTGCCGCATGATCTTAAAAGCATTTTTTTAACTCCAGAGATTATTGATCATTTTCATGACCTTATCAACAAATCTCGTCAGGTGTTGACTGTAAGAGTATATATTTTTTTCTTTTGTGCGACGAAGGGGTAAGGAATGTATTTTGATGACTATATTCAGAGATACCAAACAACACAGAACACTACTCTAAAAGGGGGGTGTTGAAAAAAGTTCTTGACACAACCTCACTTGCTAGAGAAAAAGCATTATTATAACGTACTAATTTGTAAGAAACTTATCTTTATTTTTGAGTTCGTTTAAAATCATTTATTGAATCATATCATTGGAAAGGTTGGAATTTTTCAAGTATTGAAATCTGGACACTCATTAAATTTCTGTTTGTGCAGAAGAAAACTGCAAATGAAAAATCATGAATATTTGATACAAACACTGAATGACAAGTACTTGTTATATATCAATTGTGTAGAAGTGGTAAACCAATTTCCAGTAGGGAGATTTTGAAACCCAATATTTAACACAGTCTGGAATGGTTTTCTGAACTAAATTATTGGTCATGTTAATGAACTCATTTTGGCCAAACAAATTTCCTAGCTGCCCAAAATGTGCTTTGGGCTCATAATACATGAGCAGCTTAACTTGTTAATCAAAATATTTGAACGTTAAGCAAAAACAAAAACAAAACAAAACAAAAGAAAAAAAAAAACAAAACAAAACAAAACAAAAACAAAACAAAACAAAACAAAACAAAACAAAAACAAAAACAAAGAAAACAAAATCGTGTTGAAATCTCCAAGCGGATTTTTTTTCTGGATTTCGGTGTTAAGTTTTGAGAACGACATATCCTCAGTTGATGAAACAGTTACGCCATTATGATCCAAAAACCAACGGTCTATAAAAGAAATTTAGGACCCAAATTTCTACAAGAAAGATCATAACCACAGTTTTATTTTGCTATTTTGCTATTTTGATAACTACCTTCAAAAGAGCCAAACAGTTTATGCAGACGATTATTTTTAACTTGATGTGCCAATGAAAAGTAGGCTTCAAAGAAAGGCAGCGAGGTACGCTACCGAAAGAAGTTCTCATTTTTTTGCAGGACACTATACCTTACTCACGAGCCTGGCAAGACACAGAATGTTCTGAAGAATTTGGGATTTGAGTTCATAGCCCATCCCCCTTTTTTATCAGATCTCGTTCCATCTGTTTTCAATCTGTTTCATAGTTTTTGTTTTCAAGTAGAGTGTAGCAATATTTATTTGAGATAATAATGATTTAGGGATACAAGTCTAACTAATTAACCCATAGCTTCGGGAGGAAAGTTTGATTCATACCTTTCCCAAGAGTATTAGTGCGTAAGTGAATATAACGAATTCAACAGGAATTGGAACTCAGTTCTGCCATTTACAATCCCGATCCATTATTCATTACACCACCCGCACATCGAAGCTTACAGCACCTGGTATTCCCAAGTAGTCGCGCATCTAGGTACTGACTAGGCTTGACGTTGCTTAACTTCGGTGATTGTACGGGTGACGGTGTTTCAACGTGATGTAACCGTAAGCCCCATTTCTTTGGTGATGTATATATCTGACTTCACTGAGAAATTAGTTGTTTCTACACAAATTGTTTCTATTCGCATCTTCGTTTATTTGAAAAAGATATTAGGATAATACAGAAAGAAAACTGCAGAAACTTCTAGAGAAAGTAGCAAAGGAAGGCGAGTAGAAAGGACTAACGATCAATTGTAAGAAGACCAAATGTCAGCAAGAGAAACAGCTCAAGATGTCATAGACAAACAAGTAGAGAATTTTAGATATCTCGGGTGGGGGTGTTATAACGGAAAATGTGACCCCAAAATCTGAAGTCATATAGGAATAGCAAAATATACTTTACAAAATTTAATTAACGTATTAAGAAACAGGAAAATATCATTAGAAACATTGAAAAGATAATTGGGGTGATATGTTGTATCAGTCCTTCTATATAACAGTGGAATGCTGGACAGTTTCATCACATATGAACAGGATATTTGTGGTAATAGATATGTGGTTCTATAAAACGATACCGAGAGTACCACGGATAGAGCATGTGAACAACGAGGAAGTTTTAACGAAAGGAGATAAAGATGACACTTAGAATAAGAAAGAAGCAGTTTCTACATATAACGAGGAAAGTAGGCTTGGAAAATTGGGCACTCACAGAACATACTAAAGGCAGGAAGAACAGAGCGAATCAGCAGGTAACTTTCCTAATAAGTTTATGTAAATGGATGGCAGAATAGGGAATGAGAAGGGTAGAAACAGGACAAACACTGCAAAGAGCTACAAAGGATATGAAGTTGTGGAGAGCCATAATCGCCCTCGTCTTGAAAGGACACGACACAAAATAATATGTATGCTTTATTGCTTTCGATCAGTTAGAAGACATTTCATTACTTCTGTTATGTGTGTGTGTTTGAATATACATAAATCCCATAGATAAGAATTGATTTGTTTGTTTAACGGCATATCAACATCTTTATGGGTCATTTAACGCCGAAATTTAATTTTCTTGGGAGCTTTGAGGTAATGTTATTCTGATTTCACAATAGAATGCATGGTAGATGATACTCTGCTTTTCTGCATATACATTTCTGTGTGGACATAATTACGAAAGGCGGTGATAATATGTGTTTTATGTTGTTGTTTTGTTGAAGTTATATTTTGGAAAACAGTTTGATTTCTTTAAAAAATTGTAGAATATTATATGGATTAATGTCATGAAAGAGTTCATTGGTGTTGGTTCAGTTTGGTTGATTTTGTTTAGCGGCATAACAACACCTATATGGGTTATTTAATGCGGAAATCTAAATAATCCGAGCAAAAATTTTATGGCTTCAACTATAGATAAAATGTATTGTGGGTTATTTTGCTATAAAATTTATTGTTCCGTGTGTATATATTTCCCAAAAGGTATCTCGTTCGGCCGGACACAATTTTAGGTCTCATGCGTACAACAGTAGGCAATTTTCAGGTAGTTGACATTTTTTACTATAATGTCGGTTTCATATACCCATCAGAAACCCAAAATGTAAAATCTTGGAGAGTCAGCATACTAAACAAACTTTTCATGGTTTTTACAGAAATTACTAATAGGTGGGAGTCCCAAAACCCTATACTAGCATTACAAACAGAACAAAAAAAAAATAACAAAAATTGGAGAGACACCTTTTTGGGAATAATATATTTGCCCTGTCATGAGACAGGCGCTTTGTTTTCTCTTCAATGTCTATTTCTACGCACCATAGTGTGTAATTTATATATATATATATATATATATAGTTATTTTCCAAGCATAGCTTAGATGTGGCACAAGGCCGAAAGTATTGGGCATCTAGTAAGGATCGAACTCACTTTTCAGTTGTAACTGATCTAGCGAGACAAGCTTGTTAACCATTACACCACGCCGAGGTGCCCCAGTGATTTTCTAAGCGCTGCTTAGATATGGCACAAGGCCGGAAGTATGGAGCACTCAGTGGGATCGAACTCACTACTCAGTCGTAATTGTTCTAGCGAGACAAGCTTGCTAACCATTACACCACGCCGAGGTGCCCATGTGTTTGTTTGTGTGTGTGTGTAAAAGTATGAAGATTGTGTTCAAACGTTCAAGTATGAAACAGACTGTCGCCACTTGGTGATGACCTCAGTGTCAAATTTTACATTTACATGCGCTCTATCGCTGATATTGAGCATTTTTGCTCATAAATATAGTTACCTTAAGACTATATTTTCATGATATAAATAATATATATATATATATATATATATATATATATATGAGGAAAATTGTATGACAAAGTGGAAAAAGTTTACTTGTGACGCGTCTTGTCCTTCAGGACTTCATCGAATTAAATTTGTTATGTGGGTAGGACTACACATGCGTACGACAGAGGGCTGTTGGTCATTTTAGAATTTCTTATTATTATTATTATCTGGCGAATCAAAAATTTTGTAAAAATCTTTCACCCTCTATATTAAATAAATTTTTGCTAAAAATATTTTAAAATAAGTAATGATAAAGATTTTTTTTTGTGGTAATTTACTTTTAAATTAATCACAACACGAATAGAAAATATTGTGAAACAAGAAAATGATAGTTGTGCCCATCGTTGATGGGGCACTTGGAACGATACCAAGGAGATTAGAAAACAGGTTAGATGAAATGGAAATCTGAAGTAGAATCGTGATCATTTAGACAAGATTACAGGAAACCGCTAGAATACTGTGGATAATGCCTGATTATTAAGTAAATTTCTGTTACTCAGTCTCCAGTGAAAAGCCATCCGTTATTACAGGTATGAATATTCAATGAGTATAGAAAGAAAAAAAATCCGGAGAGCATTGTAAAAGGCGGGAAGAATTGGAAATCCAAGTAAGAAATAAAACCATCCAAACGATAGCAATGTTAAACAGGAATACTGAGGAGTGTGTTCGAGCAATGAGGAGACTTGTCATTTTATCTCTAATGAAAGTTACTAGTTGTTACTAGTGTAGAAATAAAGTTAGTAAAAGGAATAAGAACAATGCAAAGAGTAGATATTGGAAATTAGGAGGCCAGGTTCCTTAAGAACCCCAGCACTTTTAACTCAGTGGGGTTGTTTGAAAAATCGAATTCCTCAGATGTTTACCAGCATGCAGAGAATGAGAGGAGATAGCCCCGGTCGGGTTAACTTTCCAACGGAGCAAAGAATGTTATCTAAGTTCGAACACTAGCAGATGATATAGAAAATAAATAAGAATACAATGCCTACTAATTATAGGTAGCAGAACTAGTTACAGTTAGAATTATAATGTACTATTACGACTATTGCTTTACTTGCTGGATTAATTTAAGTGTCAGAGATTAGGGCTGAAAATAGAGATTTTCCAAGCGTAGCTTAGATGTGGCACAAGGCCGAAATTAGGGGGCACCCAGTGAAGATCGAACTCACTACTCAGCCGTAATTGTTTTAGCGAGCCAAGCTTGCTAACCATTACACCGCCTCGAGGTGCCCTAGGGCTGAAAATAGATGCTTGATTTTGTTTAGTTTGCGTCATTTATATACAAGATGATTAAAAAGTAGCTCCCTATTTTATGCATGATAGACTTTCCCGTCTAACTATAATTTTTACAAGACGGGAAAGTCCACCATTCATGAAATAGGGGATTACTTTTCAATCACGCAGTATAATCCTCAGTTCATCCAAAATTTCAGACTGGTACTCTTGCCTATAAGGCTTACTTTAATATTTGCAAAATTGAAAATAGTCAGTTAAAGAATTTTTAGAAAATTTCTTCACTTTTATAGTGACTTTCCAAGCGTAGCTTAGATGCGACACAAGGCCGAAAGTATGTGGGCAACCAGTGAGGATCGAACTCACTACTCATTCGTAATAGTTTTAGCGAGACAAGCTTGACTAACCATTACACCGCCTCTCCACTTTTATATCAGTTACACTGAATTCAGTACGCTATAGATATTTCTATGGTATGTGTTCTAACGATCTACATTCCTTGCTCTCACCAGCCCTGACCTTTGCAACTGGGGCCCGCCATGTTATGTACAGAAAGATAAACCATCCCCATTCTCTTCGTATTCCATTAGTAAGGAGTAAGTTCAACTCGGATAGCTTCTTCCCAAGAACTGCTGCTTTGTGAAACTCACTCCCGACAGGATGTTTTCCCAATCACTACAATCTTCACCTCTTCAAATGTAGAATTCACTGTTATTTTTCCTTCATAATCTCATGAACTTCTCTTCTTGCCTTTTCTTATATTCATACAACACCGCACAGTAACCCTCTACTTTGAGTGGCTCTTGGGCTTGGTATTGGATGGACATTAACATATATTTAAAAAAAAATAGTATTAGTATTACTGTCGCTACTACTACCACTGATTACTTTCTTTGAGGTTAAATTTGAAAGAAACTAATCCAAGGCACGGTGGAGTAATGGATAGCGGCTCGGATTGAGGAATCGGAAAGCCGAGTTCGAATTCCAGTCAAATCCATTACATCCACTTACGTGCTAATACCCCTGGGAAAGGTATGAATCCTCTTCTTCTCCCCTCAGCTATAGGTAGATTCGATAGCCTTGAATGGCAACTGGTCTACCACAGAAAGAAATGGCAACCTACTGCGGGAAAAGAAAAATCTACCTCGTCACTCATGTATCGAAAGATACATGATCGCCTAAGCGTGTACCACGCATGGCACATAACTGACTGAATCCAAATGTTAGTTTCGTCCAAATGCCTGCTACTCCCATGTTTGTCCCATCCCTACCTTCTTTTGCTACGCCCATCTGATTCTTCAAATATTCTCTCTCTTCATTTAGCTATCATTCGTTTGTTACTCTTTTTTTTTTTTTTGGTACATAGCACTACTAGCAGCTATTCTTAGGTACTGCCACAATCTTTCCTCTCTCTCATTTTCGGTAAAAGATTCCAGTTTCATCCTGTATTGCCATTTTGTTAAGCAAGCTTGGTATTCATTTTAGTTAAACATTTCTTTAATAGCCGACTGCCTTTTCGACTAATT